ATCAGATTATTATCCTCCAGTACTGCACCCAGTCTCAGGAAATATTTACAACGTGGTGAGAAAGGGTCAGCTGTACCTGCTTGATAACTCTATGAAGTACTCATACTTACAATATTCAGAACTAGTTCAAGACTCTCCCATGACAAAAGAAAACGAGTAGCCTAATTTGCAAAGGTCTCCTTGGATTTTGGTGTGTGTGCTACATCCAGGATCAAACCCAAACACTCCTAGGGTGGGCTGGATTAAGTTTTTGGTAGCCTGCTTCATTATCAGAAGTTTGGTAATAAGCCTTACCACTAGAATACCACTTCTTCAGCATCAAGCATTTCTCAACCAGTTAAAGGATCGATGATTTCATCATGAATGAGAATGGAGAGCATCCCCTGGTGTGAGAATAGAAAGAAAATTCTTCTCGCGTCATCAGGAACTGGAATGGGTCAATGTAGAACACCAGGAAGTGGAGATTTGGCAACTGCCGGATGTCTGTTCAGTGTAGTCACATCTGAAAGACTCGCCGTAGGGGTTGTTATTCAGATGGAGCCATCCACACTGGCCAGAGAACCTGGAAGCATGCCAGACCTCCACTTTGTATCGTAATGGGTGAAGGCTGGGACTGCACAGCAAAAACACGCCCCTGAGATAGCGAGTTTCCATCTGAGAAACTCATCTTTCAGAGCCTTCTCCAGGTGACAACACACCCCTCTGTATGGCCAGCCCGGGGGAGCATGCGGTTGGTGGAAGCGAGCAGTTTCTTTGTGCCATGAAGCATGCACACCTCTGTCTAGATGTGCCTACGATCTATGAAACTCATGCTTTGTTGAAATAATGAAATTCTTTGGTCCTTGGTTTTATGAAAGGCAATATTTTCACAATCCTGTCAACATGGGCATCAGCAAATGACTTCAAGCTGGGACTAATGACGCAGGGACAAATTAAATACTAGATGGAAAACTCTACACCCTCCAAACTTCCCAGAATCCCCTGAGCTCCAGCATCAGGTCAGGTGTGGGGGCTAATGAGGCATGGTCAAGACAACAGATGCCAGAGCTGAAGCTTAAAACTAGATGTCAATTTTTCATACTGCAAACATTTGAAGCATATCTCCATCCCAGTGGTAGATAAGTTGACTTTATGAACACTATTCAAGATGAACCAAATAGTAACTTGATTTTAGCCATGCTGTAGCCTTGGTCTCAAAATCATCTTTAAAGCCTAGGTAAGGAGAATCAGCTGATACTGTGACCAACTGAAAGGAATCATAATTTTAAGAGAATTTAAGTCCAATTTTCAGTTGGTTTTACTAGGTCCCAAGCACAGTGGACACACCAGCTATGAGCTCCACGACTTGCGCTCCATGAAAACACCCTGGGTTGGATGGACTCAGCCAATGTGTACGTTCTGCATCTAGTTTGCCTTTGCCCTGCTAAACATGGGTTTCATATGGCTTAACACACACAGTTCATTGATAAGACGCTCAGGACACATGGGAATGCTGATTGTATAACTGAAATGAACTTCAGATTGTCTACACAAGACTCACATGTAAACTTTATTAACATCTCTCAAGGAATGCTGATCTCAGCCAGGTTGGACGTTTCCAAGTCACCCACACGGAACCTGGGGTCAACCACCAAGGTCAGGAGCAGGAAATGCCATTTGTTCAGAACAAATGATGGACCAGCAGCCCTCCCTGTGACCGTGTCTAAATCATGTGAATAGTACAAAGGTGGCTCCAGAAAACCTGTCCTTGGCTCATGTGTATGGCCAAAGACAATCACCAAGGTGCCCATCTGGCCCCTGCAGCCATCATCGTAACCAAACTCTTCAGATAAGCCATAACTTACAGACTGCATGGAGTCCATCAACATGGCTTACATTGCTTGGAAGAAACAACCCGTATTACCCTTTTTATTTTTTTTGCAACAAGCTTAAGGCTCTGTTCACAAACTCCATCAACTGCCACACAGTGAGAATTTATGGGGAGATCTTAAACTACATATGTAGTTGTAAAGGTTGGAAAATTTACTGATCCTAATGGTAAGGCTTATTCACAAATGCAATACATTTTCAAATTACATTTCAAGAAAAAAAAAATTAACCTGCTCTCTAACAATATAAGAGCATTAGAGTCTAATGGGAAAAAAAAAAAACATTGGCACCAAACCAGTATGCTATATTTTAAAAGAACAAGTGATATTAATGAAAAAGATTGCCTAAAACGCATATTCTAACTTACCACAGAAATATAAAAGTTTATATTCTGAAAATATATACTGTATTAAAGTCTGTAAGCATTTCAACCAAAATTTGCAGAAATAACTAAGCGACACTTATCTACAACAAAAATATACATGCAAGACAACCCCCAAATGGTTTCCCTTAAATATCTACAAAGGCAAAGTGTAGATTTTTAAAGATTATACAAAACCATTTACAGAGAACAAAATAAAATACTTAAGAAATCTCATTTAGAGTCTTAAATACTGTGTATATTAGTGAGAGTGTCTAAACTAATATATACAACAGACCTAAGTATCTGAATATAGAAACACAAAGGAGAAGCAAGTTTGCATTTTAAATATTCACTTTAGGAACATTTGAAGATGTTTGTATGTGTTTCCCTTTGTTTAAAAAAACTTCCACAGAAACTAGATTGTAAAACTGCATGAATGTAACTAAATTTCAAATTTTAAAAAGTTTACAAATTTTTAAGCCAACAGTTAATAATGGGAAATGCAATTCAGCATTCAGTCAAGGCTATTTTTAAATGTGGATATTCAGAGATACAGTTGCATTGATCAAAGTCTATTGTGATTATTACTTTTCCATCCTCATACTAAACTTTATATGGAAAAAACATATTTCCATGATTCAGAGAGAACATTTCCTAATTTAATCTAAACTGAACAAGAATAACATTTTAAATCATTTCTCTACTACCTTCTCAGAGTTATCCAATTTCATCCTTAGAGGGTAATTTTTGATGTTTTTTTTTGCCCACGGACATTATTCCAAAGCCAGATGAGACACGTGGCTACATTAGTCGGTGGCTTCCAAATGGTGAGGAGCTCTGACCTCCTTCTACAAACAGCCTCTTGGAATTCGGCCGTTAACTCAAGTGTTTCCACTACAAGATGCTGATACCAATCTCCAGGGACCGGAGCAGAGAGGGAGAAGAGTTCTAATGCATGGCTAACAAGATGGCAAGCAGGGGGTTACCTAGAAGGTTCCTTGACTGAAGAGGTGCCCTTAACTTCCCACCCACAGCTGTTTTTCCAATCCCACAGGTAATTCTGGAATGTGGCTGCCAAAACAAGGCACAATTCCTCAAAGACTTGCCCAGGAACTGCAGACACAGCGGGGGTGCAGGCAAAGCAGGGTAGAGAGTGAAGAAAAGGATCCTAGGGTAAAGAGAGGGTTCTGGGATAGAAGATAACGAGTGGAAACCTGAGCCCTATTTCAAGACACATCCACAGATCTCGTATTTTCCATCCCAAGTCAATTTGCTATATGTTACCTGGATTTCACCTACACTTGATCAAAATAACTACCCAGAAAGTGAAAAAATCCAGAGCTTCAGTCTAAACAGATTTAACCAACTTTTGCCCACTTCGTGGAACATCCTTCTTGAATTGACAATATGAAAACAACCCAAACACAGATCATCGTTTGAAACACTTCCTGTTATAACCAGAACCTAGAAATTAAAGGGAATTCCACCTTAGTAATGGTTTCACATTCCTACCTTATCACCAGAGATCCTTGAAATGTTTATAAGTTTGGATTTGTGATATGTCCGAAGCTAAAATATTTCTGGTGTTTTCAGCAAGGAACAAAGATGGACATTGATCGAAAGAAATTTCCAAACATTCTCTTCCATCTCCAACAAGAATACTGACACTGCTTCTATGGTAAACACGTCTGCCCCTAGAAGGTAAACAGAAAGCAAGGGTCTCTTTCTTTAGAGGATTTAGCAATGCTACACAGATGATCTGCCACCACACACAAGAATGAGGTTTGTCTAGGGACTTCGGAGAAGCATACATTTGCTTTCTCAAAGGAAGAGAGAAAACCAAGTGGAAATGTGATAATAGGCATTTAGGCTAAAGCAGGTGTTTCCCTAGAATAATTCCCTATATTCTAGGTCTGCAGTTCCTACAGGATCCCATGTGGACAAAGGGAAGGGCACACACGACTTCAATTTGATCTTCCTCTGGCTAGACTCAGCCAAGGTGACTGTCCCCTCCCAGCTCCCCATGGCCCAGACTGCCTAGATGGAGGAAGGTAGAAGATAAGAAGCGTCATGAAGTCATGGAGAAACTCAAAAGTAGAGAGGCTTTCTACAGAGGGAACCAAGGCCATCTTAAGGATCAAGAGTCTAGATAAACTTCAGATTCACTGTCTAAAGGACCATGTCTCTAGTCATAGACTAGACACTCAACGTGTCCCTGAAACACAAAGCTCAGAGCCATAAGCCTCTCTATCTGTCTGGCCCATTGCATCTGGTCAACCTCCAGAAAGAAAAAGGAACAGACAGAGGTACATAACCAACCGTAGCAATGACCCTCCTTTGCTGAGCCCACCTCCCTTCCCCCAGCTATGCCCAACTCTAGCTGTTTCACTTAACTCTCCAAGGAAGGGTCATGAGAGACTGGGGACTAACATAGGAAGAGAGAAGACAAGTGAGCAAAGGAGGACACTCAGGGGTTGCAGAGTGAAGATAAAGCTCATCCCTGGTTTCTCTTAAGAACAAGGATTCCATCATTACACCAAGAACCATTTTACAAGCCGAAGACCTGGCACAGAGCAATTCCTTTCAGCCACAGACATCCTTCCACTTTTCTCTCTCTGAATTTTATTTCTACATGGTTTCTTGCTGCAGTGCACCAAGCAGCATAAACTTCGTATGGGATTTGGTCCAGGGCAGTATGAAAATAGTATCTGTGTGAAGACAGATATCATAATATATAAACAAAAATAAATAAATTAAATAAGTCTGATTAAAGAAAAAAAAACATTTTCCTAGGAGTTTATGTTTTTGCAAAACTAGCTTTACATATAATACACATAAATTATCAGAATTTCCACTTACATTGTTTTAAAAATATATATTTAACAAAACATTCCTAAATATACAATATCTGGTTTTGTAAATCACTCGGGTGGGTTTTAAGACCAAGCCCTAAAAGTTATACAGATTTGCATCAGAGAGGAGACTGAGGATGGCTCTACACAATTGTTTTGCTCTTCAGTCTGGAAATTCCCTAAGATGGACCGTCTCCCTTCCCCGGATCTGCACTTAACCAGAACGAGCATGCTGGCCCAGTCTCCAGAAGAGGCACTGTGCAGACACAGTCTGAGTCAGAAAAATGGGGAAACTGGTCTTCCCCTTCCTGGACTTGGATGGTGTATTTCAACAAGTGGGGGCAGAACAGTACCTGGCAGAGGCCTGGGAAGATATAGCCCTCATAGCTCTCTAGCCAGCGGGGTAGGGACACTGGGGAGGCCAAGTATACTGCATTTCCCATCTGTTACACAAAGTCAAACCAATGAAGAACAACCAACGCAAACAAAGAAATTAACACAACCCTAGGTATAGAGACACCTTGACAAACTCCTTGGCCGGGCTTACACTGGGCTCCGATTTCTGAAACACAGGGCAAAGCTGGAAGTCAAGTGCCCTTGATCACTGCGGCAAGTGAGCCGGGGCCCTTCAAACTTCGTAAATTTTGTCCTGCAGGTAGCTGAACAGGGAATCCAGGCCTTTGGAGGAACTCCAGAGCTGCTTCAGCATGAGGCATTCTTTCTCATTCACATCTTCAAGCACCGATTTCAGGAAGCTGCGGACAAGGCATTTCGACTCCTCCAGCACCTGAAGGGAAAGGCACAGGCCTCGTTAGCCAGGCACCAGGGACTCTGCTCCAGAAGAACACACGTGGCCTGTGAGGCACCAGTCAACCTCCTGATGTCCAAAGGCAGAGGAGGCTGCCTACTGCAGTCTGGGTTTCCCAGGCCCATGTCCCCAGCAATGCCAGGAGTGGGTTCCAGGTGTGCCATGATGTAGAGCCCACACTCCCTGGGATGGCTGAGTGGGGCCCACATCATCCCCAACCCCAAGAGCTTTGTCTTTTAACTAAGGGAAACATAAACTTAGTATCACTTTCTATGGTGTCACAAAAAAGTTTAGAAAACACTACTTTCACCTCCTTCTGCTTCATTTTCATTATCTGTGAGACGGGAGTAATGATACCTAACTCAAGGATGGCTGGGATCACAGACTAAGGCAATGACATGAACTAAAGGTTGTCCAAGCATCCATCTGAGCCACCTCAACAGCAATGCCTCTCCTTCAAGCTTAGTAGTAAGAGCAGTGGTAATAATGGTAGCAATCACTGTAATAATGAGTATAATTACAATAATTGTGGTAATGAGTGAGAATAGTGAGAATAAAAATAGTAGAAAAACTATGGTATTAAGGAAGTAATAATAGTAGTAATTTGTTAAAGGAGTAATAGTAATGTCAGTAATATAGTAGTGATAATGGTGACGATATTAATAATACTACAGCATTATAGCAGTAATTATAGTAATGATATTAGTAATGCAGTGGTAATAATAGTAATAATAATCATTGTAATGAATAATAACAATTGTGGTCATCATAGTATTAATAATACCAATGCCACTACAATCACCATTAACCAATAAGGTCTATGAGCATTACTTTTCCTTCATTTTGTCATTTCTTGCTCATGATAGCTCCACAAATAGGTAGTTTCCACAGGATAGATGAAGGACCTACACTCAGTAAGTAAAGTTGCCAGAGTTGCCTGATGGATGTGGCTGCAAACATCTGGCTGATTTTAATAGGCTGCACTGCTGCCTCATCCTGACAGAGGCTCTGCTAGGAAGTACAGCATCTGAGCACCCCTCCTTTGGCCTCCACCATCCTCTGCTGGTGTCAGAGCTTCAGTTCTCACTCTCCCAAAGCGTGTTCACATAGAAAAAAGCAAGACAAGAGCTCCCTTGCTTAAGCAGGCTGGGAAGGAGCTGTGATCTTATTCTTCAGCCTGGGCTAGAGGCGAACAGGCAGTGAGGAGGGGCTGGCAAACCAAGACGGCGTCTTTCCTCCCAAGAATTCCTCTGAAGAACACCATCTCCCAGAGGCTGTGGGTAGATTCCTTTCTTGGGGAAATCAACCCAAAGCTCCTGCATTCATAAACATGAACAGGAGAGGTTTCCTTGCTGTATTTGACAGCTGGTTTCACCTGAAAACCTCCATTGCCCAAAGACCAAACTCCTCAGTGGGGCTTTGAGGCCTTTCTCCCAACCTTCCTTTTCACACTTTGTCCCTTGACTGCCCTGGGCACCTGCTCACACCAACATGTGTTGATACCTAACCTCTCCATAGGTCTTGGAACTCGTGTGCTCTAACTCACGCTGCTGCTGCTTCTTAGAATTGCTACCTGCCTCTCCAAATTGGAACAGAAGAAGCAAAATTGTCATTATATGTGGATGGCCTGATATTCTATATGAAAAAGCATAACGACTCCATCAAAAAATTGTTGGATCTAATAAATTAATTTGGTTAGGTTGCAGGATACAAAATTAATATTCAGAAATACGTTGCATTTCTATATATTTAAAAACAATCCCATTTACAATTGCACCAAAATGAATAAAATACCTAGGAATAAATTTAACCAAGGAGATTAAACACCTTTACTCTCAAAACTCTTAAGACATTGATGAAAGGAACTAAAGATGACACAAATAAATGGAAGGATAGACCATGCTCATGGTTTGGAAGGATTAACATTTTTTAAATGTCCACAGTCCAGTGGTCGGCAAACTGCAGCTCGCGAGCCACATGTGGCTCTTTGGCCCCTTGAGTGTGGCTCTTCCACAAAATACCGACTTCTATGCATGGGCCACGAAGTTTCAATCGCACTGTACATGTGCACCCGCACGTGGTATTTTGTGGAAGAGCCACACTCAAGGGGCCCAAAGAGCCGCATGTGGCTCGTGAGCCATAGTTTGCCGACCACTGGCCCATACTATCCAAGGCAATCTACAGATTTAATGCAATCCCTAGAAAAATGCCAATGACACTTTTCATAGAATTAGAACAATAATCCTAAAATAATCTTTTTAAATATTTTTATTGATTTTCAGAGAGAGAAGAGAGAAAGACAGAGAGAGGGAGGGAGAAACATCAATGTAAGAGTGAAACATCGGTCGCCTCCCTTACCGTGTATTGAGCCTGCAATCTGGGCATGTGCCCAGGCCAGGATTCAAACAACGCTTCAGTGCACAGGACGATGCCCAACCAATCAAGCCACACTAGCCAGGGCAATAATCCTAACATTTATATAAAACCACAAAGACCCCAAATTGCCAAAACAATCTGGAGGAATAAGAACAAAGTTGGAGGTATCATGCATCCTGGTTTCAAACTATACTATAAAGCTATAGTAATGAAAATTGTATAGCACTGGCATAAAAACAAATAGATCAATGGAACAGAACAGAGAGTCAGAAATAGACCCACAATTCTATGGTCAATTAATCTACAACAAGGGAGGCAAGAATATATAATGAAGAAATGGCAGTTTCTTCAATAAATGGTGTTGGGGAAACTGGATAGATACATGCAAAAAATGAATATGGACCACCTTCTTCCTCCATATACAAAAATAAACTCAATACCATAAAACCCCTAGGAAAAAACCTAGGCAGTAAACTCTCTGACATCAGTCTCAGAGTATATTTTTTTATGTCTCCCTGAGCAAAGACAACAAAAGCAAAAGTAAAAAAGGGAAATTACATCAAACTAAAAAGCTTTTGCACAGGAAACCATCAACAAAAAGACTACCCACTGAATGGAAGAAAATATTCACAGAATATAATTCAGCGGTCGCCAACCGGTGGTCTGCGGACCACTGGTGGTCTCTGAGATCCGAAAGGTTGGTGACCACTGCTATATCTGATAAGGGGTAAATACTCAAAATATATAAGGAATTCACAGTTTAACACACACACACACACACACACAAAGACCTAACAAACAACCCAATTGAAAAATGGATAAATAGATATTTCTCCATAAAGGACATACAGATGGCCAAAAGACATATGAAAAGATGCTCAACATGACTAATCATCAGGGAAATACAAATCAAAACTACAATGAGATATCACTTCACACCTGTCAGAATTGCTATTTTTTAAAAAGCCAACAAATAAGTGTTAGTGAGGATGTGATGAAACGGGAACCCTCATGTATTGTTGGTGAGGTTATAAATTAGTGTAGCCATTGTGGAAAATGGTATGGAGATTCCTCAAAAAATTTAAATATAGAACTGCCATACAACCTAGCAATTCCACTTCTGGGTATCTATTCAAAGAAAAGAAAACACTAATTCTAAAAGATATATGCAGCCCTATGTTCACTGCAGCATTATTTAAATAGCCAAGATATTAAACAACCTAGGATTCCATCAGTAGATGAATGGATAATGAAGATTACACACACACACACACACACACACACTGAAATATTATTCAGCAATAAATAGGATGAAATATTACCATTTACAACAACATAGATGGACTTAGAGGATATCTATGCTAAGTGAAATAAATCAGACAGAGAAAGATAAATACCATATATTCCACTTATATGTGGAATCTAAAGAACAAAATAAACAAACAAAACAAAAACAGACTCATAGATACAGAGAACAAACTGATGGTTGGCAGATGGCAGGAGGGTTGAGGGACTGGGTGAAAAAGGTAAAAGGATTAAAAAGTACAAATTAGTAGGCACAAAATAATCACAGGGATATAAAGTATAGCATAAGGAATACAGTCAATAATCTATAATAATAAAAGAGTAATATGCTAATTAGACCGGACAGCTGGACAACCTCCCAGATGTCCTTCCAGATGACCTTCTGGACGTCCTTCTGGATGACCTTCTGGACAAAGCCGGGACTGTAAGGGCCTGAGGCAAGCCGCCGCGGCTGCGAGGGCTGAGACCCTTGCATGAATTTCATGCACTGGGCCTTTAGTATTATAATAACTATGTATGATGCCAAGTGGGTACCAGAATTATCAGGGGAATCTCTACATAAATTACATAAATGTCTAACCACTATGCTGTATACCTAAAACAAATATAAAATAATATTGAATGTCAAAACTAATTAAAATATTAAAAACACAAATAAAAAATAAACAAAACCAAAAAATAAACAAAACACAGTAACAACAGACTCAGATACAGAGAACAAACTGATGGTTGCCCAGAGGGAACAGGGTAGGGAGATGGGTGAAAAAAGTGAGGGGATATGAGATACAAACTTCCAGTTATAAAATAAATAAGTCAGGGGATGTAATTAATGTACAGTGCAGGGAACAATGAATAATATTGTAATAACTTTATAAGGTATATAAATGTAGAATCACTATGTTGTACACCTGAAACTACTATAATATTGTATGTCAACTATACTTTTATAAAAATATCCTTTAAAATGTCCACCTGCCTATGCAGCTGACTCTAGGGTCATCAACCATCCCCGTTTGCCCAGGCCCAGGGGGTTTCCTGGGAACAAGGGATTTTCCGTGTTAAAACCAGGAGAGTCCCAGGCAAATGGGCACAAGTTGGTCACCATAGTCCTCAGGAAGATTAAAAGAGAATCCATATAAAGAGAATCCATAGTAAGTGTTCATCAGTAATGCAGAACCATCATCACCACTGGCACAGTCACGCTTCCAGGGAGCAGAGTTTACATACAGTAGGTGCCCAATAAAGGCTGGTGGGTCGAATCAGGAGCGCACAGCAGCTCAGTGGGGGTTCAGGATAGGCAGGGAGAAGGGAGGGAGAGTCACAGGCCTGGCCCCATAAACCCAGCACAGAAAGCGTCCCCTGGCCTTATTCTACAAAGCTTTCTCATTTCCTGAGCAGGCCCTGTGGTTGCAGGGGTGGCCTTTCCTCCACCTCTCAACAGGATATTTCCACACGGTGCTCAGAGTGACTTTTATGAGATAAAATCAACACTTAATTAAAAATCGGCGCCTCTGAAGAGGCGTCATTTATTTATCTATTTTTCAGTGTATCTTCAGAGTCAAGCGGCAATGCTTGAATGTGCCAAGTGCTCAGTGGGCAGGAGAAATACAAGGACCGTGTGGGCTGCTTCCTCTCGTCCCTCAGCTGGTTTCATACACGTTGCCCTTATTTGCCTTTGCTTATTGTTTCTTTGAAAACTATAGTAGTTTTGTGTTGGGGGGGGGGGTATTGAGGACTTTCTTTTAAGGCAACGCCTTCTTCCCCAGAGTATAAATCTCTTCTTTGAGGTTTTTCCAATTGGAGATGATGGGGAATATTAATAATGCTGGCTGCCTCCCTCCGGATTTAAGGTCTCAACACTGAGACAAGGCATCTGGTAAATTACACAGGGCCTCTCAAGTACTCCCTGCATGGCCTGTAGCAAGTCCATTAGTCCCTGTCAGCTCATTGCTTTCATCTGCAAAATGGATCTCTCTCTTTGTTTTTTTAATGACTTCAGAGAGGAAGGGAGAGGTAGAAAGAGAGAGAAGCATCAATGATGAGAGAGAATCACTGATTGGCTGCCTCCTGCATGCCTTCTATTGGGGATCAAGCCCACAACCCGGGCATGTGCCTTGACCAGGAATCAAACCATGACCTCCTGGTTCATAGGTCGATGCTCAACCACTGACCTACACCGGCTGGGCTCTTGCACTGACAAGAACACAGAGACACAGGACTCACCAGTGCACTGCAGGACGCCATCTCCTTGACCCGTAGCATGACCTCCTGGCTGAACGTGGTTGGCCAGAAGACCTGGGACACCAGTCCTCTGCTGCAAGCCTCCTGGGCAGTGAGCTTCCGCCCACAGAAGAGCATCTCATTGGCCTGAAAAAGCAAAGGCAGGGGAAGGCTGAGAGCCCGGAGGAACTCTCGTGTCTGCTAGTGATGCCCGTGCTTGCTGTAAGTGTTCCAGGTCTGGAAGGCAGGAGTCTCAACCGGGTCCAATAAGCTTTGGAAACTATAATCAAACATTGTGTCTATATGCATCTTTCTGAGCAAAGGGTCCACAGATTTCATTAAATTCCCAAAGAAGCCATGTACCTACTGTTGCTTTGTTTGGCCAATTACCCTCCACCTATGTCTGGCAGCAGACCCACAGAAGTAGGCACACACCTAAGACTGGGTGCATTTCTGTGCTGCGTGGTGACTGGCCAGGGGTTGACCAGATGATCCACCCTAGTCTCTATGGGGTTTCCAAGCTGAAGGCTCTGGGGAAGAATCTTTTTCCTCTGGTTGCTGGCAAAAGTCAATGAGCCCAGGCCACTGACTGCTGTGTCCCCGCTCTGTGGAGAGGCAGGTCCACAAAGAAGGAAGGAACGGAGAACAAGAGAACTGACAGTACTTGAATTCCTGGACTCATCACCACCAGGGACATTCTACTTTTGGACTTGTCAGTTATGGAAATCATTATTCTTCCCCCGGCTCCCCTCAAGGCAAAGTGTTTTCATCACTGGCAGCCAAAAAGGTGTTGTGTAACTAACACCATAACACAACACAGCAGCGTCTCTCCTGGTGGCCCAGGGATGTGCATAGACACTGCCCAGTCTTGAAAGGTGGGAAGTAACCCCTGCCTTCTGAGGACTCCTCTGCACCCCACTCCCCAAAGAATTTCCTTTTGCTTTGAAGTTCACAGCTGTCATAGGCTTCTGGGAGGACCTCCGTGGATAAGGTCCTAGGCACAGACAGAGCATAGTGCTGTCACCGCTGAAATTTACCAACAGGTGACTCTCGCACTGAAAATTAGGGCATGATGGTCATGGCCATGTGACAGGGTCCTTATCTCTTTCAGGATGAGTCCCTACCTCCTTCACAGGGCAGGCAACCCCTCCCTAATGGGCCATCCACCTGCCTCCCCTTCTTCCTTCCTGCCCCATACGCTTAGCTGCTCCATGATACACATGGAAATGCCAAGCTCCCTGAACCTCTGCGTCCATGCCCGGCTTCCCCCTTTGTTCTGGTTGTCACTGATGGGTCATGATTGACCCAACTGACCCAAAGGACAATTTTTCACGCCAGAGTGGAAAACCTGATCAGGTCACCAGTCCATAGAATGCATCAGGTTAGAGGTTGGAAGACAAATATTTATGTCTTCCAACCAATTATACTTATTTAGGAACACCTCGGTCTCAGGAGAAATGAAAGGAACTCAGTAGAAGGAGCCAAACAGGATGCAGTCCACAAGAAGAACAAGTCTCAAACAGCCACATTCTTGGGGTTTCAGAAATGATTGCAATGAAGGAGAAAAAGAGATAAGACTGTACAAAGTTAACATTTCTGTGACCACAGAGGACAGGGAGGAACTGGAGCGGCAGTGAGCTGGGGCAGAACACAGTGGCTGAGATCAAAAGGGAAAGTGTTGCTTCCCAGGCTCCCTGCCTGCCTCATTTTTCTGCCACCCGTGAGACTGAGCAGCCTAGAGCAGCCCCCAGGGCACTGCTGAATCCGAATGGCCTTATCTGTCCCCACTGTAGGCCCTGCTGCATAGATGTGGTGCTGGTGGGTTTGAGGGCTGAGGGTAACCTCTGCTGGTCTCTTAGTTGCTATTCCTACTTCATGCTACCATCAAAGAGAGACAGGCCACACAGAAGCAGTGGGAAGGCGGGCTCCCATCCTTCTATCTAGACTCATTCAAGCAGTGCCCCTGCTGGGAGCCTCCTCACCTGCCCGTAGGGTTTGGCCCTGTCATCTGGATCGTGATTCTTTGGTAGTTTTCTGGGGTCTCCCAGGACCACCAGCATCTGCAGGCAGAGTGCTCACAAGCAGTCCTTGGTGAAGCCTGCACCACATTGCATCCATCTCAAAATGCCACCTCTCAGACTGAGTAGACCAACCACTTACTGAACCCTTCCTATATCCTAGTGGTGGTAGTCTCAGACTCACTCATCAGAGGTGGGTTCCATTTTATAGCATGCTGGTTAAGAGCACAGGCTCTGTGTTCATATTCCACAACTTCCATTGCTACTGTGTGATCTGGGACAACTCACTTAGCCTCTCTGATTCTCAGTCTCCACATCTGTCAAGAGGGGATAACAGTAGTCCCAACTTACAGGTGTGTCTTGAGGATGAACTGAGTTAATGGCTGTCAAGCACTAGCCCCAGTGAGTGCTCTCTGAGCTGTTATGACTCACCCCTGCCCAGACTTGCTTCTGGCTGCTGGTGTAGAGTCTGACCACAGCCTACAGTGGGTGCTATGACCTTGCTCGAACACCACTCTGCCTGCTTATGAGGAGGCTTACCAGCGCGACACCCAGGATCTGGGGGAAGGTGTACGAGGAGCAGCCGGCGGGCGTGAGGCGGATGGTGGCATAGGGGGTCTGAAACCAGGCCTTCTCGCTGGCCCACACGATGTCGCAGAGGGGCAGGATGGAGGCACCCAGGCCCAGGGCGGGCCCGTTGATTGCCACCACGATGGGCTTCTTAAACTGGATAAAGGCCTTCACAAAGTCCCTGGGGAAAAGAGAAGACCCTCTTTAACAGGTGGCCAGGCTTGCTGAGACCATGTGATGCCCTTGACTGTAGTGAGGCTGAAATAAGCTTCCCCAGGTGCAGTGAAGCACGTGTAGGTCCTCAGAGAAGAGTGGGGGCCAGGCCAGGGTCACATTCTCCCAGATGCTGGGCCACTGAGCTGCAGTCCGAGGCCTGCCACCCTCTGAGGTTGGTGCCAGGTTCCCAGAAGGGACCTAATGGGTGACCACATGTCTGGGTCTGCCCAGATGGCCCCAAGTCATGCCCACTGAGCCAACACTGCCCTTCCACTCCCTACACACTCACAAAAACTGTACATATCCCAAAAAAGACAACCTGAACGTTAAGATTCAGAACCAGAACTCGAACCAAAAAGAGGGTGTTACAAAGAGGCATATTTGAACTCAAGGAGAGAAGGAACATTCCAACAGCACTGGCTGAAGGTGGGGTGATGGCTCCAGGAGGTGTGAATTCCTCATTATTGGAAATAACCTTGGCTTGATGATAACTTTAGGTGAAATTATAGAGAGAATTCAAGCTTCGGATGGTGGGCATGGGTAGGGATTGGTGACATCTAAGATTTCTTTCGATTCCAGGAAAGATTCTGAATTGCTAAAGGGATGCCAGATTCTCAAAGGTAGTTCTAGAGGGTCTATGTGTTAGGGTGACCAAAATTGAGGAAAGATGCTGGACTCCCCTGGAGGCATGAGGCATCTGGAATAATGGCTACAGGATTAGGCAATATTTTATCTCCCTGACCTTTTGCATTGAGCAAGGTTACAGCCTGCATCTTTATCTATTATGCAGAGCCACCCGAAATAACCTCTATTTCCTTTACCTTCGACACTTTTTGCCTCCCTGCTACCTGCTATATAAGACCTATAAAATTTTAATATTCAACCTGACATGGAGGAAAGATCCAAGGTGTCTGGAAAATCTACACCCTTCATTATTCTCTGGTGATACACTGGAAACTACCAAGAACTCACAAGAATAAAATCCAAACTCCCAACCGTGACCTTGGTCTACCGCTGCTTAGGCCTCCAGGCTTATATCGTGTCTACGCACCACTGCTCTCTGTGCATGAACTGCACAGCCCTTCTGAGAGTTCTTGTAAAATAGCATTATCACAATTTGCAATTATCCTAATCGCTTGCTTGCTTACTTGTTCTTAAATTCTCCTCCCCTCCAGCTCCATAGGAAAATCCATAGGTCTGCCTTGTGCACTGCGTGGTTTCATACATATTGAAATTAACACTCAGTAAATAGTTGTTGGATACAGGATTCTCCCAGAATGAGAGCAAAGACTGCAGATGTGTGGCAGTAACATACTATTTCTTCACCAGACTTTATATCCCCCGCTTCCCCTTCCCTCTTCTTCCTGAGTCTACTGCTAGAACACATTTCCCAGCCTCCCTTGAAATTGGCTGTGGCCAAGTAACCTAGTGCTGGCCAAAGGAATGCAAGTGGAAACCATATACACACTTCTAAGCCTGGTTTGTGGAAACCTCTCACCATGCAGTCCTCCCAGTCCTTTTCTTCTTAATGGGCATGGCAATCGTATTGAGCCACAGGATAGAAGGAGTCTGGGTTCCTGAGTCATCACTTTGAGGCCAGCCATGGGCTCATCAGTAACATCTATTTTAGGTTCACATAAGCCAGAAGTAAATTTCTATCACAACTGAGCCATCATATATATTTGGGTTTGTTTGTTACAGCAGCTAATACTTAACTAATACAAATGTAAACCTGATTCATCCCTTCTCAATGGTTACCATCCTCCCCAATTCTTATCAAAATATGTGCTTATCATGGTGATATGTTGGGACTTAATTCAATTGTGAAAAGATTTCTTAATATTCTGCTGGGGGTGGGTGCCTTAGGACCCATATATCTTCATGAAAGGATACACCCTTGACCCAGGCTTGAGGCATCACGTTTCCTGACTCTTGTATGATTCTGTGAGTAGATGATGGATTATCCCAGCCACTTCTGGCCCCACTGCAGCTGACCCCAAAAGGACACTGCCACAAAGAGGAGTGTTGTCACCATGGCCTTCTGATTTCCGGTTTTCCAGGCCCACTTCCTGGCTTGATTTCCCAACCTGATGGTCTCAGTCCCTGGTTTTAACAAGTGCTTTTTACCAAATGCAATTTGGAGTCTGCAGGGATATGGGGCTTGTTTGCAGGATCCTTGGACCCACAGGGTTTGGGTGATTTTTGACAGACATTCCATTCCTAAAGACACTCGCTCAATTACAGGATCCTGGAACTCAGAGTGGGAAGGACTTCAAGAGTCTTCGAGACAAATCTTCCACTTGGTACGGAATTCTCCCCACAGCATCCTGAGGGTGCATCCTCTGGCCTCTGTTGGACATTTTCAAACAAGTGGGTCCTTCCCTTTCAAGACGCCTTCCTATTGTGACTTCATGTGGTCTCTCTCATACTTGCATTCACTCTGCTCCATAAACCACGTGACAGTCCTTCAGGAATTCAGCTCCACTCTCACAACCTTCCAGAAGCTTTCCCTTCCAGACCCCAGAGCCTTGTATTCTTTGGTTTCCAACCTGAGCTCCATGCAGGGGGATCAAGGGCCCAGAGAAGGGCTAAGAGGACTAAATGTGCATGGCTCCCCCCGACCCCTCCTGCAGTCCAAGCAGTTCATTTCCTGGACATAAAAAGATGATGCACAGACCATCTCCCCATCCTTCTCCTCTCACCTCAAGCGGATCTCTATCAGGAGAAGCCAGATAGCAAACAGGATATTGCATTACAGACGCTGCTGCTCAGATATCTGATTCTGACTTGGATGGCGGGGCTGCGCTAGGGAGATGACTCCCCAGCAGCCACATCTGCCACGCTGACCCTGGCCCTTGAAGCTTCCTCCACTCAACCTGAGCTTGTGGCTTTTGCTTGCCTGAGCTGTTGGGCTGTTCAGAGGCAGCAGAAGGAGCAAAAACTTTGGGGTCTGAAAGACTTGTGGTCAAGTCCTAACTGTGCCCCTAAGTAGGGGTGAGATCTTGGATGAGTTACAGTCTCTGCAGCCTCATTTTCCTACTGGGAAAATGGGAAAGCCACGGGTGCATCCCCACGGGCCATAGGAGAATTGCATGAGACGTCCACCCAGGGCACCGGCACAGTGCCTGACACAGGGGCACCCTTGATCGCTGCTGCGGAGCATGGACGCAGCTTTCATTCCACATTCAGTGGTCTGTGAGCCACCCTCCTGGTCTAAAGGAGACTTAGAAGCAAAATTCTGCTCACAGGGGTGTCTGGATTTTACCAGGAGCAACTGGCATTTCTTTTGTGAGCCAGTTATTCATTCCTTTTAACCAGAGCCATGGGGTGCAGCCCTCCCACTGCCAAGTCTGCTGGTACAGGGCCTGTGAGCTCCCGATATACGGGGCACTCTGGGAGCCCACTCCATCGTCAGACTCAGGCTTAGCTAAAACTGGGAATAACATGAAAATAATTCTTTACGCCTCTTCCAAGTACTTATTATGTGCAGGAACAGGCCAAGTATTTCATGTGGGTCGTCTGTTGCTCTTCGTCCTAGCACCCTGCCAGCAGGCCACCGCATCACCTGTGAGGAGTTCAGGTGCGGGCAGCCTCTTTCTAGATGGGGCAGACGGCTTTGTTTGGGGCCCAGGGAGAGGCTTCTGCAGAATGAATCATCCCAGCTCTCCCCACATCTGCTAGTTCATTCAGCAAACATCTGCAGAGTGAGCGCAGTGCACAGGGTCATGTGTAGGAGCGCCACTGGGGGAGCGATGGCTGTGGCCGTGTGGCATGCTCAAGATCCTGCAGGTCAGCGCAGCCCAGCGCATGCACGTCCCAAGAGAATTGCGAGGCATCTCAATAGATAGGTTCTATGGCTAAAGTATGTTTCAGCCATGCTCGATTTTGAACAACGTTCTTTCCCAGGAAACTACTCAGATTGCAAATATGTTAACATGCCTGGGAAGTCTGTGTGAGCGGGGACAGAACTTCTAGTGTGGCCCAAACTCAGTTACGACAGTGCCCTTTGCTCACGATGCTCCTCTGGAAATCTGAAGATTGTTCTCTGGGAAATGTTTCTCTGACACGTCGTGTCCCCAACTCTGGAGTGTGGCTGCTGGAGGGACCACTGCAAAGTCCGTGGAGCTGGGCCTCCCTGGAGGTGTGTGGTGGTGATGAGCAAGCCACGGTCACTTTCTGACCCAGGGACACCCTTCTCTACTAGGTGTCCCTTCTTGAGACTCCTCACCCTCCCTCTCCCTTCTATCACCTTCCTCTTCACCTTATTCTCTTATAGCCAACTTTCTTCTCTTGCATGAAAATAAGGACCTTTTTGTTTCCACACCTTTTAGTGCTCTCAGTCACTGGTGCTCTCAGATTACCCTCTTGGTTGGGATGGAGCAGGGGTTCTCAGCCCTGGCTGCACATTTGAACCACAGAGGGAACTTTAAAACCAAAGATATGCTGGCCCCACCCCATGCTCATTAACTCAGAATCTCCTGGGGGTGCTGCCAAGCAGCTGGGTTTTGAAAAGCTCCCTGGGGAGAGTCTCGGTGCTGCTGGGGCTGAGAACCAGTGGCCTAGGGGACACCCCATTCCCCATCCCTCCCGTGTGTCTGGCGGCTCATGCATTACGAGCTTCTGCTCCCTTTGACACACTGGGAAGAATTCCCTCGGCCCTCTCTCCCTCCACTCGGCCTAAGAGAAACTCAACTTCCCGATGAGAGAGCAAATGATTGAATGCCACTGGCCGCCTTTCTCCAGCAGTGAGCTAATGTGCTCAGCATCTCCTCAAAGTTGGGACCTATAGAAATTAGCTAATGCCTCCGCAGAAACTCATAAACCAGACGAAGGCTACGGCCAAGGTGCTCCTCAGCTGTAGAGATGGGCGCCCCATCTCCGATGGTCCCATAAACGAGGAAGGAGGCTTCCTGGGGACCCTGCTGCTGCCCTGCCACCTGACAGGAGCGGAGAACAAAGCACCGTGGCCATGGCCAGGGCTGTCTGCACCCGGAGAGCCTGAGAGCTGCATGAAACCACATGCTTTTTCTAATAACATCATTCGGGATTTTCGTGTCTCTTTTGGGGGAGACATGAGTTCTGCAGCAGGAAGCACACAGGTGTTTGGAGCATAGACTCCAGTGCGTGCATCACCCTGACTGGGACACAGAACCCCACGTGCGTGTGAGGCCATCCCCGTGCCATTTCTTGGAGACTCTGCATACCCTGAAAGCCTCCCACAGCCTCATGGGAATCAGCCTCCGTGTGACGATGTCACAACACAGCGAGGCTGGAGGGTCCAGAAAATCCCTAACCTGTGGCCCAAGGCTCCCTGACAGCCTGCAGAGTAAGGGTTCCTTCTCAAGGGACCAGGGAGCATTACTGAGCTGTGACTCCTGTCCGAGCACTTTGCAAGGTGAGCAGTGAGTGTGGGTGTGCTCCCCGGCGGGGAGGACAGGCGGCAGCCCTTGTTGGAAATCACATGAGCTCACTTGCTTTTGATAAATCTCTAAAGAAGGGGGACATAACTACCTGTCAGTGTCCCAAAAGAGATACTGATGGTTGGGATCAGATATCACCCCAGGATCCCAACTTTTGCCCCAAAGGCAACAAGAGAGGGGGAATTACTCCCCACACTGCCCAGGGGACCCATCCATCCTCCTCCCCGGTGCTGAGCCATGTCAGCTCCAGGAACAGAAATGCTCAGAAAGTCAAAGATTTTGCCATCAGACAGAGGGCAGGAGAAGTGTGGATAAGCATGGGCATTACCAGATGCTGGGCTGGATATAAGAAAATAAAATATTTGGGGGATCAAAAGAATAAAATGCAATCTTACGGAGTAAAGGCATCCCTAATTTGGGCAGGAAAATATGGGACGTCCAATCAAATTCCAAATTTCAGATAAACAACAAATATTTTTTAGTATAAATATATCCCAAATGTTGCATGGGACATACTTATGCTAAAAAACAAACATTATTTGTTGTTTGAAGAGTTTAACTGAGCACCCTGTATTTTCATGTGCTCAATTTGGCAATCCTAGGCGGGTCCCCTAGTGTCTGAACAGGAGCAGAGCTCACCTGATGGATTCTGCAATGCGGGTGCTCTCCTTTCTCCGGTCGCTGGACAACCGGCCAATTAGGTAGGAGTAATCCAGGCCGCTGCAGAACACGCTGCCCACCGCACTGAGGAGTAGCAGTTTGCTGTCATCTGTGGCCGCGTTGCAGAGAGCTCGCCGGACCTCCTTCATGATCTGCGGGCAGATATGGATTTGCGGAGATGTTAGATGTGTATCTGGAAGCCGAGGCAGAGGTGAGTAAATCTGCTCTGTCTGAGCAGGGAGCCTCCCCTGAATGAGCCATGTCCAGACCTAGCAAAGAAACAGCAAAACCAGAGCTCCCCTACACCCTCCCTGAAGCAGGCACGGAAGGCTAAGGAGGTGGCAGAGGGGTCACTGGCTGCAGACTTGGAAGCCTGGCTTGGAGTCCTTTAATCCCTGGTAACCCTGCAAATCTTCCAGCATTTGCTTGGTTAGCCCTTTTCAAGGTGAAGGGGAAAATTCCTGTGCACAGCAGGTGAGTTATGTAAGCTATCTCTAAAAGGCCAAATTAATTCTATACTCTTGCTCATCCTTAATTCAACAGAGACCCTTACACAGCTTATGGGTGGGAAGTGGGCTTTGCCATCAGAACCATAAAATGTTCAAGGTACCAGGCAAATAACCATCCAACATAAATTCTGTATCTAGCTAAACTATCATTCAAAGGCAAGGGTAAAAAGTAGGCGTTTTCAGTAAAAGAATGTTTACCACGCTTAGACTCTCACTGAAAGAACTAAAAAAGGATGCACTTCAAGAAGAAAACTACATTCAGAAGAGAAAAAAAAAGCACCTGACATTCAAGGAACAAAGCCACCAAAGAAATGGGTGAATGTGTTGATAAAACAATATAAGAACTGATGATAAAAATCACCATACTGATATTGACAAATGGGGGTGCACAAGGTAGACCTATGTGCTGGGCACTAATATTGTGTCAGATGAAAAAAGGGGTGACCAGAGTTAGAGCACACCTAGGTTATGTATCAGGGAGAGATGGACAAGTAACGATTACATTTAGGTTTTACTATGTGAACATAACATGGATAACTTCTTAAAAGTTCATAAAGAAACTCAATCACTCATTCCAACAGAAGTTATGGGACAAGAAAAAATAAGCTCAGAAAGAGTATGGTAAGAGAAAACAAGGCATGCACTTGACTGGGTAAAGCTGAGAATGCCTTGAGGGAGACAATAAGCGAATAGGCTTTTATTTTATTTTATTTTAAAGATTTTTTTATTGACCTTTAGCAAGAGGGGAAGGGAGAGAGAGAGAGAGAAACATCTGTGTGAGAGAGGAACATTGCCTCCTATCAGGGATCGAGCCCACAACCCAGGTATGTGCCCTGACCGGGAATTGAACCAGCAACCTTTCAGAACATGGGATGACACCCAACCAACTGAGCCACACCAACCAGGGCGTGAATAGGCTTTTAAAGAATCATTGATTATTCAATCAGCATAATCATAGGATATAGTGTTGAAATGTTCTGAAAGTACTATTTTTTAAATATACTTTTTAGAGAACCCCCATTTATTAAACACTTAGAGGTACGAGTGTAATTTCCACACAATATTTTATTCCAAACAGAAATCCTGGAAGGAAGGGAATGGCATCCCGATTTTATAGGTAGAGCAAGGAAAACTCAGAGAAGTGAAGTTGTCCAAAGTCACCAGTAACAGGCAGAACCACGATGCAAATTTCGCCCCAACATCCCTTCTCTTTCTCCTACCTTCTCTTTCCACTGCTCCCCACTGTAGGATGACTTAAGTAAATGGATGAATTTGAGTGAAAAAAACAGAGCCAGACGTCCATCTGAATCAGGATCTGCCGGCCTATGCGTGCTCTGTGAGAAGGATGGGAGAAGCACTTTCCACTCTCACAGGGTGTAAGCCCCAGATACCCATTTTGAACATCTAAAAAGGTAACAGGCCACTATCTTGTGGGTCTTTTCATCTATCTGCCTCCAAAAGCAGATGGTCTGACCCACACGAGAATCTGTGTAAGGCGTGATTCTACTCACGACTCAGAGAGTAGTCTCTCTCTAAGGTCACACTTGCTTGTCAATGAGTAAAAACACAAATTCAAACGAAGCAGCCACCTCCTTTGTGAATTAAATGGAAAGCAAATTTGTGTTTCGTTGATGCAACGAATGTACAAACTACATTTCTTTTTTTTTATAGCAAAGGTGGAAATTTATTGAAGAACAAGTACAGACCCCCATGTGGGGAGAGGGAGGAGTCCCACAGAACTGACTCCCATGTAGGGAGGGGGAAGAGTCCCACAGAGTCCCTTTTCTCAGTCTAAGGCTTATAAAGGCTGCAGTTCCTGTGTCCTGATATTCCCTCTGATTGGTCAATATTCCCCTTCGAGTTGTTTACTATAGTAACTCCTGGGCTCAAAGGTTGAACCTCACATGGGACATGGGAAGTTCTCCCCACTCCTTCTCCATTGTTCCCCTATTCCCTCTGGGCTTTCTTCTTTTCCATTGGAATGAAGGGCTCCCTTCTCTTTATTTTGTAAATATAGACCTTTCTTGGCTACTTCCATTCCCTTGTCTTATGTAAATGCAACTGTTGCTGCTCCCTTAAAACTACATTTCTTAATTTTAAAAAAAATTGTGTTTAGTGAGTATCCTATGCCTTTGCCTGTCTCATGTTGATAATCCAATTTGGACTGATGGCTGGGGACCTTCTTGAAGGACCTGACTTTTATAATGTAACTGATTTGTTTAAGGTGAAATGTGTTAAAAGCATCACCCTCCTTTACCTTCTTACACAGAATACACTGCCCACATGTCACTACTTGGTGGCCACTTGCTGGCCTGAAACAGACCGGTCCCCTCAGGGGCTCCTGGGTTTGCTTCTAGAACAAACGCGACCAGACCTCTCTGCATATTAAAGCCCTAAATCTGTTTGTGAGAATTATTCCCCTCGTTACACACATGCCAGCTGCCACTTGCTCCTGCTGTTAGTGTCCACTAGAGAAAGCACCCTCCTCCCCTGCTACTTCTAGCTGCTGACCTGCCATGGGTTGGAACCAGATAACCAAATGCATTCAAAGGGGTGTGAAATGCGAGGAAATCAGGGTCCCCCTCTCCACTTCATCTTTACTTGCTGAGCTCAGTCACCCAGGGCCACCTCCACGGCAACCACCTTCCTGAAGGCCTTCCCACATATACCCAAGTAAATGCACACTCTTCCTTCTCCTGACAGCCCAAGTGTTTAAACTCCCTGCTCTGACAACTCTCCCTTGTCGAAGGTACATCCTTACCTTATCCTGCCTCCTCACTAATGTAAATCCCTGTGTAGGCAGCCTTGGTGATGGCCCTCAATAACCCTTTCCTCTGGTATTCACACCCCTGTGTAATCCCCAACCCTGGAGTGCAGACTGGACCTGGTGACTCACTTCTAGCCACGAGAATACAACAAAGTGATGGGATGTCCCTTTCACGAGGAGATTCGGATACAAAAAGACTATAGCTTGTCCTGGCTCTCTTCTCTTGCTGACTCCCTTTCTTAGAGCTCTCAGTCTGGGGGAAGCAAGCAGCCAGCTAGTGAGTAGCTCATGGAACCATTACTCCATAGTCCACGTGGAGTAGCCACATAGCAAGGCACTAATGTCTCTGGCCAGTGAGGACCTGAGGCCTGCCAACAGCCACTGGGGAAGCTTGGAAGTGGATCCTCCTCTGTTGAGCCATTGGTTGAGGCTGCAGCCCCAGCCAACTCCTTGACTGCAGGCTTGTGAGAGACACTGAGCCAGAAGCATCAGCTAAGCCATGACTGGATTCCTACCCACAGAAACTGTGAGATAATAAATGTTTGTTGTCTTAAGATGCTAAGTTTGGGCACTTTGTTATGCAGTAACAGACTAATACAATCCCTTAAGAGCTAAAATAGTATTCTACTCATCTGAATAACCCTTCTAACACCTAGTCCAGAAATGTGCACATACTAGAATTTAATAAATATTTATTAAATTGAGCGAATGGCACAGTATCCAACCTTCAAAAGGATTAGAGTCTAATGGGGGGAATAAGATATTTAACAAATTATCACACAATTACATGTACACTAACAGCTGCAATAAGTTCTGGTAGGGAGGGGTGCACGGTGCTAGGAAGGCATATGAAAGACCTGATCTGGTCAGGGAGGTGAGGCAAGACTCTCTGGTGGGAGTGATGCCTGGGCTGAGTTATGAATGAAGAGCAAAGGTCAGCTAAGTAAGAAGGAAAAGAAAAATTTTTTGGTCAGAAAGACAAGTATCTACAAAGGTGCTGGGCAGATGTGAGCATGAAAAAAGGCCAGAGTAACTGAAATGCAAGAAGAGAGAAGAGTGATGTGTGATAAGAGATGGACTGGAGAGATGGGCAGGGTCAGAATGCATCTGCACCCCAGGCCACATTATGGTATTTGATTCTTAACAGGAGCGATCAGAAGCCACTGATGTGTGTACCTGTGTGTGTGTGTGTGTGTGTGTGTGTGTGTGTGTGTGTGTGTGTAGAAAGTGTAATTTGATCAGGTTAGCTCTTCCAACTGATCACCCTGCCTACCCTGTGGTGAATGGATTAAAAGGCAGGACATGGGAAAGGGGGCAGAATTGTTAGCAGTTTATTACAATAGTCCAGAAAAGATAGCCTAGTGGTCTGGACTATAAGGGCTATGAAGGAAATTGAGAGAAAACACATTTGAGAGCTATTCAAGATACTCATGTTAACAGGCCTTGGGGATGGTGTGGATGTGGGGTATGATCAAGAGGGCCGAGGGCTGACTCCCACATGTCGGGTGTGCCCATGGATGCTGGTGTGCTGTCTCTGAGCACTGGAGAAAACCAGGAGTTGAGTGACGGCTTGGGATCCTCTCCTAATGGGGAAGCAGATGAGCTTTGAATCACCAAGACTTTGGGCAATCTATGTTGCTGGCTCTTTCCCCAAGGAGCATTTCATTATTTCCCTGGTTCTTTGCTTTATTCCAGAGGGGGGAATTACTACAACATACCCACTAGCCTCAGAATCTAGTTAACAAACCTAGTAATGTATGACTTTTTGCCCAGGAGGCCACTGTCAATTAGAAAAAGAAATTCAATTATGACCGTGAAGGTGGCCCTTCCAGTTCCTCCAAGAGTGAGCGAGACTGAGTCTGCTGGTGGCCATTAAATTGCCTCTGTTTCCTCTTAACAATGATAGGAACACCCACTGAATACCTCCTATGTGCTGGGTACTCTGTGAGCCTCTTTGCAGACAAGCAAGATACTGTATAACTTCTATAAATGAGGGAGCTCAGGGAGGCAAAGTAACTTCCTACGGTAACAGAAGTGGTGAGTTGGTGCAGGCAGGACTCAACACCCAGGTTGGCTAGACTCCAAAATCTGCATTCCTCCACTAACACCACCTCTTCATTTCAAGAGGATCTTTCTTTCAGGACTACTTTACCCAGTTGCCGGTTTATCCGGAGTTAATCCACATTGGTTGTGGAGACCCCTAAAAACACCAGATCAATGTGTTTTTTCCATTTTTCTACCATTCTGTTGCCAACAGACACCATGTAGAAATGGACCTCTAATTAACCAAGCCCACAGCAGGTAAGAACCGATGCACCTTAAATCAGTCAGAGGCAACACATTTTCCATGATGAGTAACAGTTACCACACAAAGCTACTCCAAAGGGACAGGATGAACTGGGAGACTTCGCACTTACTCGATTAATCGAAGGGAAATGCTGTGTCTTTTAAAGGATGCTTTTAAAAAGCAGTGAAGTAGGAAAAAGATCTAAGAATTGGTCTCAGTTGGATGCTTTATGATGAGCTTAAAAATAACAAGGTTTGCAGGTGTTATAAACATGTACAGAGCAGCCTTCGAGGTAAGCCACACTCTGGACTTTTCTGAAGCCTACACAGAGGTCTGCCCAGCACAAAACCCCCAGATGGTGGAGGAGGGAGAGAGTCCGGAACATCATGCTTAAAGGAGGGGCAACAAGCACCATGAACCCCACAAACTGCACAGACTTTAGCCACATCCCTTTTCTTACACTTGGCATCATTCCTGAGGGTCACACCCACAATCCCATAAAACAGCCCTAGACTATGATAAGACAGGTGATTGCAAGGTCAAGGACTCAGCAATTCCCACGCCATCCCACTTCCTGGGCCTCCCTAAGTGTACTGGATACACTGGGCAATGCCAGGCCATCCCACCAATCCCAGTCTGGGTGGTCAACCACTCCTTGACCTTTGACTGTGTCCCCTCAAACACAGCCCTATGTTAACCCTCCATGTCTTCATTGCTACTATGGAGATAAGAGTGCAGGATACTGCAGGGACAGGAAGATACCACGCTAAGTGAGAGAAATGAAATGAGGGCAAACCTGACAACAGTCCTAACCTTCTGAAGCTAAGCTGTGTGAGCCTGGGCCTGTGAATTTCTCTAAGCCTGTTTTCTCATCTGTGAAGATGTGGTTACAATTATCCTACATCAGAAGGGTACTGGTGGGATGGAATGGGATAAAGGGAAATACAAGGCCCGAAGAGTCGCAGCGAGCTGGCACTGCCCTGGTTTTTGTCCTTTACCACTCTGCTGCCGGTGGAGCTAGAGAGGACTGCTTGGATAAGTGCTTCCCACATCTGCACCACTAAGAATTTCTCAAAGAAAAAATATGCATCTCCATTGTTCCTCCTAAGTACCCCTTATTTTGAGTGATGTTGTCTCTCTAAATGCATTAAGTCGTCATTGTTTCCCTGTTCTATTCACCTAGGATAGTGATGGAGAACCTCTGACACCTCTGACACGCGAACTCATTTTTTTTGGTTTGTTTTTCTTTGTTAAATGGCATTTAAATATATAAAATAAATATCAAAAATATAAGTCTTTGTTTTACTATGGTTGCAAATATCAAAAAATTTCTAGATGTGACACGACACCAGAATTAAGTTAGGGTTTTTCAAAATGCTGACATGCCGAGCTCAAAAGGTTCGCCATCACTGACCTAGGATGTCAGAATAAATAAAAAAGTTACCCAGAAAAAATAAATTAGACTTCATCACAATTTCAAAACTTGTATGTCCAAGGACACTATGTAGAGAGTAAAATGACAACCCACAGAATGGGCGGGAGTACTTTCAAATCATATACCAGATAAAGGTATAGTATGTAGAATATAGTATAAAGAACAATAAAGACACAATAACAAAAAACACCAATTTTTTAAAATAAAGTATTGGGGTGAAGGCTTGAGAGGGGGTGGGGGCTACATGGAGGGGGTAAAGGGGAGAATGGAGGACATCTGTAATAGTGTCAAAATAAAAAAAAATTTAAAAATAAAAAATAAAAATAGGCAAGGGATTGGAATAGAAATTTCTCCAAAGAAGACAGACAAATGGCCAATAAACACATGGAAAGATTCCCATCAGGAAAATGCAAATTAAAACCACAAGATACCACCTCACAACTAGTAAAACTAATTACCTAGCGTGACTAATAAAAAAGATACAATAGCCCTGGCCAATGTTACTCAATGGTTTGAGCATCAGCCTGCGCATGAAGGGTCATGGGTTCAATTCCTGGTCAAGGGCATGTATCTGGGTGGCAGGCTCGATCCCTGGCCCTGGTTGGGGCGAGTGTCGGAGGCAACCAATCAATGTCTCTCACATCAATGTTTCTCTCTCTCTTTTTCTTCCCGTCTCTCTAAAAATCAATGGGAAAAATATCCTTAGGTGAGGATTAACAACAATAAAAAGATACAATAACAAGTGTCAGGGAGCATGTGAAGAAATTAGAAATACAACAACAAGTGTCAGGGAGGATGTGGGGAAATTAGAACCCTCACACACTGCTGGTACAAATGTAAAACGGTGAATACTTGTGGAAAATAGTTTGGCAGTTCCTCTGAAAGGTAAACGTAGTTACCTAATCACTCAGCAATTCCACAGTTAGGAATATACCCAAGAAAACTAAAAACGTATTTTTCATACAAAAACGTGTACACAAATGTTCATAGCGATATTATTCGTTATTGTCAAAGTGGAACCAACCAAATCTCCCTTGGCTGAAGAACTAATTCACAAAATGGAAAATATCCATGCCATGAATATTTTCACGCGAAGCCCTGGCACATGCTCCAGCACGGGTAAACCGTGAAAACATGATGCTGAATGAAAGCCTGTCATGGAAGGCCAGCTACTATATGATCCATTTCTATGAAATGCCCAGAACAGACAAATCTACAGAGACAGGAAGTAGACCAGTGGTTGCCAGGGGCTGGAGGGAGGGAGAATGGGAGTGACTGCTAATGGGTACAGGGTTTCCATTTGGGGTGATGGAAATATTCTGGAATTAGTGGTGATGGTTGCGCAACTTTGTAAATATATTAGAAATATCACTGAATTGTTCATTTTAAAAGGGTGAAATTTATGATATATGAATTATATCTCAAAAAAGTGTAAGTGAGCTGAGTAAGTATCATTTCATCTGCAGCAATGAAATTGGACTTGCTTATTATACTGCAGCCTGGGGCCTCCTCTGACTAAGTCCTGACCAGCTGACTGAATCTCTCCATTTACCAGGGTCTTCATCTGTAACGGGACAATAACGTGGCCGAGTCAGAAAGGTCAAATGGAAAATGCACGGAAGTGATTAGCAAATGGTGCCCTGCCATCAAATGTGTGTGCACGCTGGCCACTTCCATCAGAGGCTTCCTGAAGGAACAAAGCAAAGCCAGCACCCCAATCTGATGGATGCGAGGCCCTCCCCAGCCTGACCCTCCCCTCTGGTCCTGCCCCCTCACCTCAGGGGTCAGCGCGTTGTTGTCTGAGGTCTGACTGGACAGCAGGATGTGTGTGAACCCCTCTTCCTTCCGCACGACAATGTCCCGAAACCGACAGTTGCTTTCATTCTGGCGGACGCTGTACCTGAGCCTCTTGTCAAAGACGTAGTCCTTCTCCGTGTCCAGCTTCCTCTTCACCGAGCTGTGCATGTTTAATCCCCCGTTGGTCAGAGCAGAGCCTTCCAAAATCAGATAAACCAAGTGAGACACTAAGACAGGGACCATCGTGCAAGAGCAAGATCAGAGAGCGTTCAGATTTTCACTGGAAGGGTCGGATGTGGCTGGGACCCCCGTGCAGCCTCTCTTCTGGGTGCACTTGCTATATCTCCAAATTCAGAAGAGGATAGAGAGGGCTCTCCGGGAAGGACCCCATGTGATCCTTTAGTCCCCTCTCCCACACATAGGCTTGCTTCTGCTCGGATACCTTTTAGCAAAAAGGAACCACTGCTTTGAAAGCTTACGGCCACAAGACAAAAGACTTGCAGCTCTATTTATAGCCATCAAAGATTGGGGAGCAACCAATATGTCCTTTACCAGGTGCATGGATAAACAAACTATGGTCCATTCATACAATGGGGTATCATTCTACAATAAAACTAAGTTAGCTATCAAATCACAAAAATACAGGAACGAATCCTAAATGCAGACTAAGTTAAAGAAGCTAGTCTGAAAAGGCTACACATTGCACGAGTCCAATTATATAACATTCCAGGAAAGGCACAGTGTCGAAACAGTGAAAAGGTCAGTGGCTGCCAGGAGTTCAGGTAGAATGAGAAGAGGTGGATAGGTGAAGCTCGGGGGATTTTTTTGTTTGTTTTTGTTAGGGCAATGAAACTGTTCTGAATGACACTATAATGGTGACTATGAGACATTACACATTTGTTGAATCCCAAAGAACTTGACAGCACAGTGCACCTTACAGTGTGCAGATTTTTAAAAAATGAAGAAACTGGGAGATTCCCAGGAAGGAATGCAGCATGTGATCAAAGAATGTAACTGTATTACAAATGTAGGAAACTGCTGAAACCGGTTTGGCTCAGTGGATAGAGCCTCGACCTGTGGACTGAAAGGTCCCAGGTTCGGTTCCGGTCAAGGACATGTACCTGGGTTGCAGGCACATCCCCAGTAGGAGATGTGCAAGAGGCAGCTGATCGATGTTTCTCTCTCATCGATGTTTCTAACTCTCTATCTCTCTCCCTTCCTCTCTGTAAAAAATCAATAAAAAATATATTTTTTTAAAAATGTAGGAAACAACCTCGCTGAAGGGGGTGGGGAAAGGTGCTGACCTAGGGAAGCCTAGCAATGAGAGGAGTCAGTAAAACTACAGGCGAAATAACCCGTATAGAGCACTGTACTCTAATTGACAACGTTGATTCCCATGGAAGTAGGTAGGAGTTAAGAATTTTGATACATGTGTGCTGGAAATGAACAGCTAAGTAGACAGTGAAGCAGATGACAGGAACAAGTTTTCTCACTGTGGGAAGGGAAGGGAAGGAGGTTAGAATGATCCACGTGATGACGAATTAGAATTGAAGACATCAACGTGAGCTCAGATTTAGCTTAATACAGTTACAGACGACGACATACAAAAATATTTATAGATAAGTGTATGCACACAGGTTAATATATACATATGTATTTCCTTGTTCTGTCAGCTGAGAGAATCAATGACGTGCCAATAGCAGCAAGTACACCCAGGGCCCAGATCTCGATTTCTGATACCATTCTCAATAAAAGGAACCAGGGCTCCCTGGAGAAATGGCTGATTCTAGGACTGGGATAGGAAACACATCAGATAGGCTTGTCGTGCCTGAAAGAAAGGAAGCACTACAATTTTTTAATTACCTTACAATGATGGGGTTTTCTAAAAGGACACAGAACAACTGAAAGAGCTCATGATGGCCAAGGATGGAGCAATTTGACAACAAAGTCAAGTAGTATTGCATTAAAACTGAAAGGGTAAAATCAAGATCCACACGTCCACACAGATATAAATAAATGATGGAATAAGTGAATAAATGGGAGAGAAGAGACAATTCTCCCATGCACAGAACTCGAGACAGTTTGTGCAGACACTCTGCCTTCAATGGGGAGGAGCATAACACCACACTTTCTAAGCGTGGGCTGCACATAGTGACTCCTTCCAAACAGTACAATATGAAAAGTTGGGGCGGGGGAGGGGGGGTTTAGTAACTGACAGTGGAGAACCCTGATGGTCAGCTGGAGAAGCCAAAGCCACCTCAGCCAGATGATCAAGGTCAACATCCATAGTGATAAGTCAAGGTGACAGCATGTACCCTTGATTATGATGGGAGGAGAGTGGCACTTCACCTCTGTGGTCTTCCTCTCAGTAACCCACATCACGAGGTCAATGTCAAACAAATGCAGATTGAGGGGTGTTCTACCAAGTACCTAATCAGTACACTTCAAAGCTGTGAAGGTCATCAAAAATCAGGGAAACTGAGAAACTGTCAGAACCCAGAGGGACCAAAGGAGATGTGAGGGTGAAAAGTAATGTGGGATCTAAGAAAACCTGACTGATGTATGGACTTTAGTTAGTAATAATGCATCAATACTAGTTCATCAACTGTAACAAATGTACTACACAAATGCAAGGTATTAATAATAGGAGAAGCTATATAGAAAGTCTTTGTATTATCTTCCAAATTTCTCTGTAAATCTGAACTGGTTTAAAAAGTGAAGTTTATTTGCCCTGGCCAGTGTTGCCCAGTGGCTAGAGTGTTGGCCCCCACACTGAAGAGTCGAGGGTTCGATTCCTGGTCAAGGGCATGTACCCGAGTTACTGGTTCGATCCCTAGCCTGGTTGGGGTACGTGTGGGAGGCAACCAAGTGATGTGTCTCTCTTACACATCTATGTTTCACTCCCTCTCCCCCCCTTCCTTGCCCTTCCCTCTCTCTATAAAGCAATGGAAAAAAATATATATCCTTGGGTGAGGATTAACAACAAAAGGTGAAGTATATTTTAATGAACATATTTCAATAGTAAGTTAATAATAAATTTTTTAAAACCACAACACACTTCTTGGGTGATTCTGACATGCAGGCAAGTGGGTCGTGGCCCAGTAGTTCTTACACTTGAGCAGGCATCAGCACCCCCTGGAGAAAACCCAGCCTGCCGGGCCCACCCCATGGTGCTGCCATCACTCCCAAGACCAGGCTTTGAGAAGCAGAGTCCAGACAAGCCAGGTATCCTCCATCACCAGGCAGTTCCCCACCCCCAGGCGTGAGACGTCTCCCTCAAGCCCTGGACTTGAACAGTGATGAAGGCCTGAAAATCTTGTTGAGCTCAGCATTTCTGCTGGGGGCACGAGATGGAGCCCCATCTCAAAAACAACCTCACTAGGCTGCAGTGATGTGGGCGGAAGGGTACAAGGAAACACAGAGAAGGATTTGCTCTGTGCTAAGCATTACTGGACCTTTCGTTTTGTTTCTGGCAAGGAAGGGAAAGAAGTCACGATGGAGGCTGCAGTGCTGCATCCCAACCAGAAGCTGGTCCCCTGAGGCCAAACCTGGCCCTCTTAGGAAAATTACTGTGGACAGAGCGGACTCATCCTGGTTGCTTATCCTCAGAGAGCAGGACCGAATGGCATACATATTTAAAGGACCCATGATAAAAGTAAACAAGGAAAAAATGGTAGCTTTTGTTTTCTAATCATCATGGCCCGGCTCAACATAAAAGTATTTCAATGATCCTCTCTCTCCAGCAATATTGTAAGCATTTTGAGGGCAGGGCCACTGTCACACACAACGCAGGCCAGCATAACACCTGTGCACCGGAAGTTCACGGGAATTGTTCCTTGGCCTCTGGAGCCCTGGGTCCGCCTCTGGGTGGACTCAGATCCTTAATTAGCATCGGGGGTCCTGGAAGCTCAAGAACCAAGCCAAAGGCAGAGACCGGGAAGTGCTTCACCCAACCCCTCCTCGGGAATGCTGGGTCCCCCCCAGGAGAGTGCCCAGCCCGGAAGGGGCACCGAGGCAGCGGTGCCTGTGTCCTGCCCGCTGCCCCGAAGCTGCCTAGTGTTATACTTTTCCATCACTCCAAGCAACTGGGCTTTGTCAAACACAATGCCGGGAAAGTGATTCAATGAACTCTGGAAAGTAAACTCGAGCATCTAATGAAAAGGCTTGTATAAAGGGAGCTGTGTCTTCAGGGTTAACCTCAAAACCTTCAGCTCCTCAGAGGGGCTTTCTAATTGGGGCTGGCATGGTTTCTGCAGCAGCCCAGGCGGATCCAGGGGGTGGTCCTGGGGGCGGAGGTGAGTGCATTACAACCCCGGGGAGAAGTCAGAACCTCAGGGCGCTGATACATCAATGCTTTCCAGGGCTGGGAACGGTTTGAATAAAATCCTCTTGCACCCCAACCAAATTGAGCTTCTAATTAACAGTTATATCAAGGAGGAGGACAGGAGGGTTCCCTGTGTTGAGCTCTCTAGTAGTATGTTGTCTCTAAATTTCTCAGCGCTCTGATGAAATCACCACGAGTCCATTTTGCAGATCAGGAAAAGTGAATAATGTGCTGGAAGCCACAGACGTCTTGAGTGGTAAAGCCAGGATAAGAGCTAGCTGTCTCTCATTGGATTCATTCATTCACTCAAAATCTATTATCACCTCCCTATGGACTATGATACTAGATGATGGATATCCAAAAAAAGTTGAAAAAATAAGATCCCTACCCTCACGGAGCTTGCTTGGTGGGGTCAGTGAAAAATAAAAAAGTAAATTAATACTGCATTAGATCCTGTTTCTGATTGTAAGTGGCTACAACGGGCCCTGTGTTTTAGGAGACCCAGAGGAAAGTCACCCCAGAGCCCAACAGACTAACTTCACACAGAGCTGCCCTAAAGCCTCTCCCCTTCCCGGGTACTGAACCTTTGAAAAGACTGCAGCAAGCTGGCAGGGAAGGCAACATGGGAAATAGAATATTCCAGAAGCATGGAAGTCTAGGGCTTTGCAGCCAGACAGTGTAAGAAGCCCAGCACTGCATTTGCTAATTCAGAGAAGCTAAGAGGTCACATGAGCTTCTGGAGCATTCGTGTCCTTGATTATTAGATAGTCAATAGTACCTGCTTTTCTGGGTTGTTGAGATATTTCAATTAAAGAACTGATATGGGATTTAACAAGTGCCCAGCTCATCCTAGGCATTCTGTAAGTGTTAGCT